ATATATATTTTTTTTTTTAGAGATGGGTCTTGTTCTGTCATCCAGGCTGGAATGCAGTGGTGTGATCACAGCTCATTGTACTGCAGCTTTGAACTCCTGGGCTCAAGTGACCCTCCTGCCTCAGCCTCCCAAGTAGCTGAGTGCTTTTTTTTTTGCCTCCCTCCCTCCCTCCTTCCTTCCCACTCTGTTGCCCTGAGTAGAGTGCTGTGGTGTCAGCCTAGCTCACAGCAACCTCAAACTCTTGGGCTCAAGCGATCGTTCTGCCTCAGCCTCCCCAGTAGCTGGGATTACAGGCGCACACTACCATGCCCAGCTAATTTTTCTATTTTTTTAGTAGAGATGGGGTCTTGCTCTTCCTCGGGCTGGTCTCTAACTCATGAGCTCAAGCCATCCTCCTGCCTCAGCCTCCTTAGAGTGCTAGGATTACAAGCATGATCCACCGTACCTGACCACATTTTTTTTTCATTTTTGTAGAACCTCTTTTTTCCTTTTTCATTGACATATTAAACACAGAGGGCAAAGGAAGGGTTAAGGGGAAGTGGAAGTATTATCATCATTTTCTTTATGTCTTATTTCTGAAGAAATTCAGAGTTTGGAGCAGGGCCATAAAACAATACTCACTCTTTGCTAGGGATAAATTTATAATACTATTTTCTCCAAATAACTCAATGGTTACTTCCATTTAGATAAAGCAACTTATAAACAGAAAATAACTTTTAGTGTCTACCATACAAAGTCTAACTGTATTTGTTGAAACTGCATATGGATTAAAAGCCTCTGCTGTGTTCTGTTCAGTTATTGGGACTGTAACTACCTTTATTCCAAATGTTTTAGTGTACTAAGAGTTTTTGTCTAATTTAAAAATATTATGTCCTTAATCATTCATTAACATGGACTGATAGAGCCACCCTAAAATATTAACTGCTACACGTGGCTAATCCTAATGATCTACAAACATATTTCTTTAAGAGACAGGTCACCAAAGAGATGCAAGGTAAATGGATAATGCTTTGGAAAACGGATTTACCTCCAATCAGGAACAAGGAGTGTTTCTGAAAAGACCTCTATTTCCAGCAAACAACTTAAGGCAAATCTCTATAGTTCTGTGTATCCTCACAGCTGTGCCCACATTAATTTTGCTACTCCAAGTCAGAGTCGGATAAATAACTATTACCTGAATACAGGGAAGTAGATAACTAAGAAGAACTAAGAAGAAACACAGGCAAAAACCAGATATTAAATTTTTGATTCAAACTAATTTTGAGTTAACATGGCGTAGCACAAAGAACCTTGAACTAGGAGTTAGAAGTCATGAGTGTTAGTTTATTCTACCACTTGCTTATTTGTGTGCTTTTAAGCAAGTCATTTTGATTTTGAGCAAGTCATCTGATGGTCCTTTTCCTCTTCCTTACAATGGGGTTGAAAATACTTTTTTGTACTTCTTATTCCCCAAGCTTACTATGAGGGTCAAATGACATAGTATCTATGAAGTTATAAAGCCCTATGCAAATGTACAGTAATATATGCATCTATATGTATGTATGTGTTTACATATGTATGTGTATATTTTTGATACTTTCCAATATTAACCAAGTTTGACTAATATTTAATGGTATAATTCAATGAGCTACTGAACAGATTTTTTTTTTTTTTTTTTGAGACAGAGTCTCACTCTGTTGTCCTGGCTAGAGTGAGTGCCATGGCGTTAGCCTAGCTCACAGCAACCTCAAACTCCTGGGCTCAGGCGATCCTACTGCTTCAGCCTCCCAAGTAGCTGGGACTACAGGCATGCGCCACCATGCCTGGCTAATTTTTTCTATATAGTTTTAGTTGTCCAATTAATTTCTTTCTATTTTTAGTAAAGACGGGGTCTCGCTCTTGCTCAGGCTGGTCTCGAACTCCTGAGCTCAAATGATCCACCCGCCTCGGCCTCCCAGAGTGCTAGGATTACAGGCGTGAGCCACTGCGCCCAGCCTCAACAGATATTTTAAGACATTGTGGAGTAAAAGATGAGCAAGACGTAGTCTTTGACTTTTAGGAATTCACAGTTGAAAGAAGAGATATTAAAAACAAACAATAAGGCAACAATGGAATAAGTAAGGTAATAGAGATATATACCAAATGCCCAGTGAAGAAATAAACTAATCTTACCAGAGGGGAAAGGGACAGATGTCAGAAAGAAGATTATAATTAGGCTCAAGGAAAGAGGCTGAGTTGCTAGAATTTCATCCAGACACAGGGCTTCACAATAGAACACAAAGAATCACAAAAATCTCTGTTACAGCTGGCTCTCCCTTCAGTAATTAAAGCTAGTACTTAACCTCCTCAAACCTCTCTTACCATAAGTCTAAAAAGGGTTTAGGCAAGATGAACTCTTAAGTCCTTCCAGCTCTAAAATGACACAATACTCTGAGTGAAACTCTGGTCGTTGTATATATACACCAAGAAAGAGAACTGGAGAGTAAGAAAATATGCCAGAACTATTAAAAAAAGGAGTTCTCCCATTAACTACTTTTTCTTGGAATTAAAAGTCTAAGAATAATATTTATCTCTACCTGGAATAAACTCTAGCGCAGTGAAAAGTGGAAATTGGAATGATAGCAAGAAGGGGAGAAGCAAACAATACAGGAAGTAAAGCTCTCAGTTCACCAAAGACGCTGCTTAGACCAGTAAGGAAATAGGCAACAGATAGGAAGTTACAATGTTTACATTCCTATTTCCAAGAAAAACTTGGAATAAAACCATAATCAGACATTAAAATTTACACTTCCATAAAATGGTGTTGTTTGGGTTTTTGCCTGGGTAACCACTTTTTTTAAAAAAACCGATTTGTATAAAGAGGTCAGTTTAGGAATTATAAAAAAAGTACCAAAAACCTAAATATGTACAACTGGAATAAGTTCCAGGAATGGTATCAAGGGTGGATGCTATCAGGTAATCTAGTTCACCAAACATTTATTAAACTTTGTTTAACAGTGCTAGTTGTAAAACACACAGTCCCAGTACTCAAACGATTCACTGATCTATGTTAAGGCTGTAAATAAGCAAGTGTAGTAACTCTTACCCATCAATGATATTTTCAGGTGGGTGTTTTTCATCACTTGATGTAGCTAAAATCACTTCGGACCCTTCAGAGCTCAAACAGAGATCAACTTTTCTCATCTTAAACTGTTTAACCTGCAAATAAAAAAATAACAAATAACAAAAAAGCAACTTCTTGATTCTCTTATCTGAGGAAAGGGAAACAGAAGGAAAAGCCTGTTGCCTAGCACACAGTTTCACACCCAAGCTATTTAACAAGTGGGAGGGACTCTAACATGTTCATTTACATAAGTAAACTTCTGACCTTTCCCAGGGACAATATGTAAGGCATGACTATATTTCCACTACTCTGCTCCAGAAAATAAGTCCCTGAATACCCTAACCAACATCATTTTTTCTGCTTCTAAAATTAAAAGCCCTCCATAATTATATGAAAACAGCTAACAAGCTAGGGTGACATGAATTAGTGGGTAAATTTTAAAAAGTTATTTGTAGTTATATTTCTTGAAATTTAAAAAAATCTGGAAGATATGAACAGATATTTTGTGACTGTTTATCTGTACACTTATCAACTGAAGTGACAAACAATATTATTACTTACATCTTAAAAGATACACTATCATTAATTTTTGAGCAGAAACTTGAAATTAGAGAAAAGATAACATTTTATTTATTTTAAAATTCTAAATCAGTCACTTGGCTCATGGACTTAAACACACTTCTGTTGCAAGGTTGTATTTTAATTAAAAGGATCCTGAAAAAAAATTGTTGAGCTCTACAATGGAGCCCGGAAGGAAGACAGAAGGAGGAGAGAAGATTCTATCAGACCTCACCCTCCTACTTGATCTAGTGGTGACAGGCCACAGACCAATATTCAGATGCAAAGTGACTTCCAAAGGTTTATGGACAAAGAGTTAAAGGACAAAGAGTGTTTGAAAAAGGGAGGAAGGCTTCCAATGGCACACAACACCCAATACCGTCATGCCCTAGCCCCACTCTAATTTTTTTTTTTAATGAAACCATTTCAAATAAACAAGCAAACAAAAAAGTACAAAGAATATTGCACAAATTAACTAACTATGTGCTCAGATGCCCAGATGTAATAAATGTTAACATTTTGCCATATCTACTTTAGGTTGTTAGTTTTGTTTTTCTGTTTTTTTGTTTTAGAAATAAGTAATCTCTTACGGGTCCCATGCCCTTACTTGCCCAGAGGTAACAGCTATTTTGAAGTTGATGAATACCCCTCTTGAGTATTTTTAATTTTTTTAAAGAGATGGGGTCTCACTATGTGGCCCAGGCTGTTCTTGAACTCCTGACCTCAAGTGATCCTCCCACCTCAGCCTCCAAAGTAGATGAGATTATAGGTATGAACCACCACACTTGCTATGAGTATACTTTTATATTTTTACCATATGTTTCCAAAACAATATGACTACATATTGTTTTAAATTCTTTTAAAATTTAGATGATTCCATAGTATATATATATATATATCCTTTTGGTATTTGCGTTCTTCATTCAATATTATGTTTATAAGATTTTATCATGTTGATACATGTAAATCTACCTACTTTATTCAGTTTAATTGCTATGAGGTATTTCTCCATTTCCCTATTGATGGATATTTAGATCTGTTTCCAATTTTTCGCTATTATAAACAAATTTGCAATGCAAATATTTATGCATTATCCTTATGCATGTGGAAAAGTGTCCTCATGATAATAGACTCTCTCTACAGAAGTAAAATTGTAGAAACTTAGCTTTGAGTTACTAATTAATTTGCTCTCTAAATTACAACAAATCATATTACCATCAGCAGTGTATGAGAGTTTCCGCTTCCTCATATTCTCACCAACATGGCATTCTTAGACATTTTGGCTTTAGCCAAACTCAATAGTACCAATGGTATCTCAATAAGGTTTCAATTCGTATTTCCATGATTGCTAGTAAAGTTAAATACTGTTGCACATGTTTAAAAGCCATTCAGGCCTCTTCTTCTGTTATTTGCTTTTTCTAATCCTTTGCCTATTTTTCTATTGGATTGCCTTTTTATTAGTATTTTTTTGGTCCTTTTCTTTTTGATTTGTGGGAATTTTCAAAATAAAATATTCTAGATACAAATATTTTGTTCCATGTGTTTTAAGTATCTTCTCTCAGTCTGTGGCTTGATTTTTCTTTTAAACTTGGTTTGATTTATTGGTTGGGGTTGGGGTTTGTGTGTGTGCGCATGTGCGAGAGAGAGAGAGAGAGAGAGAGAGAGAGAGAGAGAGAGAGAGAGAGAGAGAGAGAGAGAGGGGGAGACAGAGAGACAGGGAGAGGGAGGGAGAGAGGGAGAGTCCTGCTCCTTTCCTTTATCGTTGTTGAACTATAACATACATATAGAATAAGGCACAAATCATAACAATATAGTACAATAAATTTTCACAAAGTAAACAAACCCAGGTAAAGAAATAGAGCACTTGAGAAGCCCTCCTCATGCCCCCTCCCAATTACCACCACCTCCTCCTTCCCAAAAGTAATCATGGGCCTTATTTCTAATGCTATAGATTAATTTTGCCTGAACTTCATATACATGGAATCTCACAGTCTACAGTATTCACATCTGGCTTCTTTCACTCGTCATTATGTTTGTGAGATTTATCAACGTTGTACATAGCAGAGTTGAAGTGCAACTAAGTACAACTACAACCTAGCTACCACTCAATTCAACTCCTGATAAGAAATCAGCCCCTAAGGGAAGCTTCGCAGGAAACTAGGTGCCAGCTGAAAAGCAAATAAAGATTTCTTTGGTCTCTGGTACTTAGATACCATAACCCTGATGAAGGAGGGAACTGATCTCATTCTCCATTATCTGAAACCAGAGGCAAACTAAAACTATTGAAAATTGCAACTTCGTCTGAACCCAGCACAATTCCTAGTTAGACTGAAGTGATCTGCCCCTTACCCTAGCTATCACACAAAGGAAATGGTGTGTTCTTTCTGGGAAAAAACATTGTACCTCGGTCTGTATTTTTTTAAAACACAAAGTTCAACAAATACAGTCACTAGAAACAGACTTATAGACGACTGAGGTGCTGGAATTAGCAGATATAAAGATAACTATTATAAATATGTTAGAGAATTTAGAGAAATAATGGAGAAAATGGCTGAACAGAGCATTTTAGCTGAGAAATGTAAACTCTAAAAAAGGACAAAATGGAAATTCTAGAAATGAAAAATACAATATCTAAAATTAAGAAATCATTAAATAGGTTTAAAATCAGACAGCACCCAGTGTAAGAAAGGATCGGTGAACTAAAAGGAGGATCAAGAGAAATGATCCAAAATGAAACAGAAGAAAAATTGAAAATAATAGAACAGAGCACTAGATACCTCTGAAACGATATCAAACTAGTCTGAAATACATGTAATTGAAGTCCCAGAAGGAGAAAAGAAAGTGAATAGTGCAGAAGACAAATATCAAGAGATATGGCTAACATTTTCCCAAAATCTATGAAAGATACAAATTCCCAGATGCGAAAAGCTCAGTGAACCCTTATTTGAATAAATACAAAGAAGGTAACACCTAGGCACAACTTAGTCAACTGCTGAAAGTTAAAGAGAAGAAATTAAAAGCAGAGCAAAAACCACATTACATTTAGGAGAACAAGAATTAAAACTGACTTCTAATCAGAAACAACGGAAGCTAAAAGACAATGGAATGATACCTTCAAAGTGCTGAAAGAAACACTATAGAATTCTACGGAGCAAAAATATCCTTCAAAAATAAGGACAAATCGAAGATATTTTCAGACATACAAAAGCTGACTATTTGTTACCAGTAGACCCACACTATAAAAAATGTTAAAGGAAGCTCTTCAGGCTGAAGTGAAATGATTCCAGGTTGAATCCTGGATCTGTGAGAAGGAGTGAAGAGCACTGGAAATGGTAAATATATTGTTAACACAGAAGAATATTCTTAAAATTTCTTTAAAAGACTATTGACTGCCTAAAGAAAAAAAAATAATAGCAATGAATGGTAAGGATTTAACAGATGTAGAAGTAATAAATACAGTAATAATGTAAAAGGCAAGTGCAGGGTAAATGAAACTTTACTTCTTAAAAAGTACTTTTATAAAGTTCTTACACTGAATAAAAAGTATTAATTCAAAGTAGACCAGGATGTTAAGAATGCATGTTGTAATGTTAGGATTAAGTAACCACTAAAAACCATAAAACAAAGAGGTATAGGAAGAAGGCCAATAGAGAACAAAGTGGAATACCATAAAATACTCGATAAATCTGAAAGAAGGCAGAAAAGGAGAAACAAAAGAATAAAGAAAATAGGACAAATAAAGAAAAATAAGACAAATAGAAAACAAACAGTAAGAACATATATTTAAGCACCAATACATTTAATTAAATGTTAAGCTAAACACTAGATTATCAGACTGAATGAAAAAAACCTAAATATGTTTTCAAGAGATGCATTCTAAATATAAAGACACAGACTCAAAGCAAAATGACAGAATAAGGTATAAGTCTTAATATCTGGCAAGGTAAATTTCCCTACTTAATTTTCAAAATTGGTTTGGTTCTATGCTTTGTACCTTGATTATTAGAAACAATTTTGGGCCGGGTGTAGTTGCTCATGCCTATAATCCCAGCACTTTGGGAGGCCAAGGTGGGAGGATCACTTGAGCCTAGGAGTTCAAGACTAGCCTGGGTAACATAGCAAGACCTGTCCCCACAAAAAAAATTTTTTTTAAATTAATCAGGTGTAGTGCTGTGTACCTGTAGTCCCAGCTACTGGGGAGGCTGAGGTGAGATGATTGCTTGAGCTGGAGTTTGAGGCTGCAGAAAGCTAGATCATTCTACTGTACTCCAGCCTGAGGGACAGGGGGAGACCCTATTTCTAAAAAATAAATAAATAAGTAAACAATTTTGTTAAGCTACATGTAAAAAAAAAACTTTGAGATATTGATTGCAATTAAATTGATAGATTAATTTGGAGAGAACTGACATGTTTATGACAATGAGTTTTCAAATCCACCAATCTGGCATATCTCTTCGTTTATGTAGGATTCCTTTTAAGTCCTTAAATTGTTTTATAGTTTTCTCCAAACATACCTTTACTT